CCATTATTTTAGTTTTCAATTTTGAACTAACAAATGTCAGACACATCGTAACAATTTTTTCTTGTACATTTTTGTTTGATTCAGTTGATTTCTTTTAACCTTCATCAGGGGTCGAACCAATTGAAAGTCTTGAATTTTCGGAAATTTCGTAACGCGAACCTGGATTTGCGGAATTTTCGTACAGCGGCTCAGGCCGTGTACTAGTACGCGTACGCAGATAGTGAGGAAGTAGTTCTCATAGGGCATTTTCCCATACGGTAAACACAGAGTTTTAGCTCTGATTCCTCTCAAAAAAATTTAAAAATTTTCATTTTCAGTATTTAACTTATGGAAAAAGCAAAATGACGGAGATGACTGTAATTTCCCACTATCTACGTACGAGTACGGGCTCTCAGTGTCGGAGATCGAGATTTTTTAAATGACAGATTTCTATGTAAAACATAATTATAACTGTTTCAAATTCACTAGTTTCAGGGTTTCAGGCAAAGTTGCAATGTGCAACATATGGGAATTTATAAGTGTTGCACATTGAGACTGGCCTGAAACCCACAAACTCCAAACACAGAGTGCAGTCGGCTTTTTTGAATGTATTGGCAATAAAAAAAAATTACAACGGCATTATTTGAAGACTTACAATATTTGTAATGAGGTAAAGTACAGTGACGGAGATTACACTTTCTTGAACTTGGTTTTCGACGGTATCAAGCTTTCTGGTTGTATTCATTGTCTCTGACCTTGCCGCCCCTTCCAGCAGGGTGGCGGCTATAGCAACCTCAGTTAGGTCTTGTGTTTATAATTTCTTTTTTGCTTACTCAAAAAATTTGACTTCTATCTTCCTTTTTGCAGCTTGGTTCTTCAACTCCTTTATTTCTTCCTCTCCAGTTTTCAATCCACTCATCTTAGTAGCGATTTCTAATTTCGCCGCCTCCGCTTCTTTTTTTCTCAGAAAACTTTCTTCTCTTCGCTGTCTTTCCTCCTCTTTCTTCTTTTTTTCCTCTTCGAGGTGTGATTTGTAGGAGTTACAGGCATGTTGCGCCAAATTAGCCAATTCCTTGCAACTTGGCACCAGCTCCGCTTTTCACTGTCGTGGCAGCGCCTAAGGTTTGTTCACACATTGATTTGTCATCTGTTATATAGGTATTTACCAGAAGCTGAAAACCCTCTTTCTACTCCGGCATTTCCATGGGACAAATAAAGAACAGCTTTAACGACCTTAGTGACATTAGGGAATCTTAACTCTCCAGTGTTCGTTTTTAGGAGAAGAAATTGACGCCAGTAGTCATCGATTCTTGAGTTACCTTTGTCCAACCGCACAGCGTCTTCTTCTAGTAGTAACAATCGTCATTCATCTTGCACAAGTCCGACATCAACTTGTAACGGCAACGCACGAGCTTGTGTTGCGATTCGACCCACGCTGATTTCTTTCGCTGTTCTGGCTGAAGACATCGACATAACTGAAGGAAATTATTGCTCATAAAACTTTTTTTGATTATATGGGGACATGCTACTTTGATGTGCTCTTGGGAATTTGTTAGGAAACTCAGCCGAACATCCTCTTCTAATGCATAAATTTCACTCATCACATCATCGTTCAAAATTATTTTATTTGTTGGAAGGAGAGGGGTAGGCAATAATATATCATTGCAGACGCCAACATTATTTTTAATCGATTCTGGCTTACATATTATTGCAGTAAGTAAAGACGCTAGACGATGAAGCTCATCGTATATGATATGAATCATAGGTCTGGAGGCCTGAAATGGTCCAGTGAAGGCTGTAAAGTTTCTTGCACTATAGAGCCACGATATTTGGCGGGAAATATAAAAACTATTATTCCAGGTCATTCAACAAAAATACCCAGTTGATAAATTATTATTGGTTATGTTATGAAATTTAATAAGCACATGGTAAAATTTACGTTGAGTAGATTTTCGGAATTTTCTGATGTTGTCAAAAATATACGGTAATTTCGGACCTTTACCGAAATATCGCAGTTTTCCGAAAATTTCGGACTCGGTTCGACCCCTGGCCTTCATGAATCCAAGATTCGGAATATTTCAATTTATCTTTATAACACTTCTTCAAAATCGTATTATGGAAATTTACACCTTGTTCATCTGATTTTGGACACATTTGCTCAAATGAGTTTTTGATGTATATGATAAAAAATAATGAGGTTAAAACAAAATGCTATTGAAACTGACACNCTGCCCCAGCTGTCGTGCCGTGATTACTATCAATATCAAGAAGTTCTTCATACACTTCATAGCTTTTATCTACTCCTCGAATAAAAATCAACACCTGAGCAGTATCCGACACATCCGTTGACTCATCCAATGCTAGAGAAAACCACTCATGATGCCCATTTTTGTCAGACGGTTGGTATGATATATTTTCTGCGATGTCTTGCACCCTCCGAGTCACGGTGTTTGCTGACAAACTGACACTTTTAAATAGATTTACCTATTCGGGGCATATTTCTTCGGCTACTGCAATCAAGCATTCTTTTATCATTTCTCCATCGGTGAATGGTTTGCCACGTTTTCCGATTTCAAGAGCCACACGAAAGCTGACGCGAGTTGCAGACTCTTGTTCAGTATTCGCTTTGGTAACCAAAGATTGTTGCGATTTGAGTCCGCGTTTCAAAGCTTCAAATTTTTCCTTCCGCAAACTTCCTGTATACTTGGAGTAACTTGAAGATGTTTCGATTCATAGTGTCGTTTAATGTTATAGTCTTTGAGAACAGCTATGGTTTCATTACAAATTAAACATAGCGCCTTATTACTGGACTCAATCACAAAATACTGAAAGTTCCATTTTTCTTGGAACGTTCTGCATTCACTGTCGATTTTTCGCTTCTTTTCCATACTAACAATTCACACATAAAAACAATAAGTCAAATCAAAATACTTTTATTGACGGGTGTTACTTTATTTCACAATAGACAGTTTCGCTTCCTTCGCCTTTCCTACGCAGACTAACTCGCAGTTGCGCCGCTAGCCTATTTATATGCAATTATTACTGCCATCTCGAGGTGATCGGAATACACTAGCTAGAACCAGAACTTTCTCGAACCAACGCGGTAATTCCAAATATTTAATTACGCCTAATGCCACCTAGCGGGTAGCTAAAAAAGATAGTACATAATACCACTACTCGCCATTAGATGTCGTTAAGTGTCACAATACACATTAATTGAAATGCAAAAAAAATCGTAAGTTTGCTTAGGTCACGCACTTTGCGACTATCCTAGTCTAGAAATATAGTTAAGGGCAGATATTGGCCCTTGGAACAAAATGAAAAAATTATTATGGCCCGAAGGCTTCAAAGTTTGGAGACCCCTGGTATAGATAATTAAAATATCTTTCATATGAAATATCACAAGAGCCCCCCTTTCCATTCAAAATAAAAAGTTGATAGCATCCTCTGTGAGGAAAGGTATGTCACATTAATTGCTTTTTTTATCAAAAAAGTACTAAGAAGTGAATTTTGTCGGACTCTGATATCTTGCCCAGTTCGAAAGTTAAGAGGAGAGGGGACTATTTACGACCACACAGTATATTCATTTTTGGAAAAGAAAGTTTTTATTGCTTGAAAGGGATCTGGTGTAACTACTATTTATTATTTTCCCTGAACAACATATGATAATTTTTTGTAAATAGTGGTGGAACTGATTTGATTGAATACTTATTTGATTGAATACTTATGTCTTTTGGTTGTGGTAATGTGATCTCCTTTAGTTTCAATAAACTTCTAGAGGTTTGGATCATTAAAAATAATAGCTTTAATTCGATTATAGATTCAAAATCAAGTTTGTTAGATGCAGTAGTTGTAGAATCCTATGAAGGTGGATTTTTTTTTATAAAATTCCAATTGACAATCTTCAAGTGTCAATTTCAATAGCATTTCGTATTAACCTCATTATCATTATCAGATAAACCAAGTGGAAATAACCATAACATGATTTTGAAGAAGTGTTGTAACAATAGATTGAAATATTCTGAATCTTCGAGGCATAAAGGTGAAAATAAATCAACTGAATCAAACAAAAATACACCAGAAAAATTTGTAATGAAGTTGAGAATTGTTCATTTGACAACTAATACTTCTGACAAATTTTTGATTCAATTTATTTACTGAATGAATAAACTAATTCTTCAAATATATGGGTATTTTCTCATACTTTCATTTAGCCAAGTACTGAATTTTATTCAAAAGCATTCAATCATAAAATGAGTAATGTAAACACTGAGACGTCTTTCGATGTATTCAAAATAAAAGTGAAAAACTTATAATTGATTGGAAAGATGTTTACATTACACGGTTACTGTGAGTTTCATGAATTGTATATAATGCCATTTCACATTTCAAAATTTTGTGGTTTACTGTTCAGATTGAAAGCATTAATCAATCTTGAATTATAGTACTTTAAGAGAAGAAATACATACCCGCATTTGACCTGCTTCAGTATTTTCTGTAAGGGTGATCAATATGCATATTTGAATTATTAATTATTTACACTATACAGATACACGGATGTTCCGATAATAAAATGAATTAGTTGAAATATACATTTTCAATTGGGATAAGATGCTACCTAAGCAAATTTTGTTATTGCAGATATATTTGAATGTAACAGAAATTGTAATTTGAGGTCAATAAAAGTTAAAAGTGAACCATATGTTGGAAATCCTTGTAATACAATGCTTTCAAACACAGCAGTACCGTTATTGGTTAGGGTATATTTTTCTTCACAAAAATATGAAAATGGAAAATGCACCAAACATATATTCAAAAAAAGGACGATTCATATAAAATAAATAGATGGAAACTGTATTGGCAAAATGATTATTCCAAAAATGCTAACCAATAAAAACTCCTGAAAAATTATGAACAAAAACAATTCCTTTTCAATTTATATGTATAAATTTTTCGCATTTTAATATGATATGCAAATAAAAAATATTCCATTTGAAAATCAAATATAACAGGTATTTTTATATTATTACTTATTGCGAAGTATTATTCTGACAAACTGATGGACTCTGGGTACTCAATGCTATATCCTTCATGTGTTTCTCAACCTGAAATAGAAAAAAAACCTATTTTAGTGAATATTTAGTAATTTTAGAGAAACTGAATAAAGTATTTTTTATTGGTTACTTTATTCCTGTTGAAAAACAGAAGAGATTTTAGCTGAAAAATTCATATCCCAACATAAAAATATTATTCAAACACACGAGTTGCAGAGTAAAGAAAATGATGTATGGATAGAATCACTTTGATCAACTTTTGGCAATGAAGTACCATCAGAAATTAAACCTTGCAGTTGGTTTGCAGAGTGTTGCCATAGTCGTGAGTCACATTCTGTGAGAAGGAAGCATTTTGCTGCATATCACATACTGTGCAATAAAATAGACTTAAATTGAACTTCCAAGTTACAGCTGAAAGATATACACATAGTTTGAACTCAAAACTAAGCAAGAATCCGTTGAATGGGTATTTCAAGATGAATTGAATTTTTGTTTGAAGGTGGTTGACAATGTTTCGTGGTGTATTTCATCAGTTAGGACTTCCATTGTTTAATATAATATTAATAACCTAACTTTTTAACGAAGAATTACCTTTATTTTTGAAATCATTAATCCTATGTTACGATTTTGGGTCAATTTCATAAAATTCGTCATGGCTTCATTATTCAGTGAAAAACATATTTTATATTCAATTTTCAACCCCAAATATTAGTAATTAACATATACCAGTATGCGTAACATTATGCATAGTCATTCCAAATTTTAGGTTAAAGTTCATCAACACATAAAATTTACTTACTGTGAGGTATGAAATACCCAAAGTTTTTTCAGTTGCAAAAACGACTATCTCTGAAGTATACATTATTTGAAACCTGTTATTTTTTTCAATAAACAACATGTTAAGTAATGAAGTATAGTATTATGTCGTCAACTGATCTCAGTATGTAAGAAGTTGCTGACGACTCACATTCGTAAGAGCTACTTCTCTTTAATGTACTGAGTGTCAGTTGTCATCCAAACAAGAGATCTCCCTGATTAAACAGAAACGTTAACTATTTTGTGTTTCTATTTCACTGGTAGAAGAAAATGATGCTGAAAAAGTATTGCGTATTTTATTTGATACACATGTGGATCATATTTTGTTTGCCAAAAAGAGGAAGAAAAACATAGAATTGTTGACTAATTGCTTGTATCATTCACGTTCTTTTTGTACCCCATATCAAACAAAAAATGTGTAGACAGCGATTTTCATTTTCTCAAGAAGCCATTAGAGCTTCCCAAAAACAAATTTGGGTTTTCAAAATATTTATGGAAGGAAAATCTTCAAAACAATTGATGGATGTAGCCGTTATTACGTGATAGAAGATCATCATGAAAAATAAAACTATGTTTTTTTACCGTTCTTATTTGTAACTACCGTTACTGATGTTTTGTCTTATAAGCACATTTTCGAATTTATTGTAGTAGTTTGAAAATGTCCATATAGGACGAAACTACAGCAACGTTAGCTACAAATAAAAGTAGTGAAAAAACAGAGAAAGTTTCATTTTTCACAATTGATAGTCGTCCATTCTATATTGATTTCTGGGGTAGACCGTAAAGCCGAGAGTTTAGTTTGTCTGACAGTTATATACTGATTTTTTACTGTTTTTTCTATGAATAAGGGTTGGTTTTCAGTTATTGGTGGTATTCAATATTGAATATTTTATTTCTAAAAATTTGTTCAGTAAGAGGATCAAATGATCTCAGAAAAACAATTGTTTTCCCGCCAACAATGTTAAGATACATATGAAAAATAAACACTGTAGCAAACAAAATACCTAAACCAACACAACACATTGATACGAAACAAACAAATATGATTTTGATAAGGTTGTACCTGTTTTTATTGATGTAAGAAATAATTAGAATAGAACATAGAAACTATTCCTGTATTTTAGTGATTTACTTAAAATATGCAGTATTGAGGCCTTCAAAAGTCTTTCAGATAAAAATACTTGGACATCTATATCGGACGTTCAAAATGAAAAATGTGTCCATGCTCTCTTGCATGATCAACATATGTGTTGCGTTTTTGTAAAACTGTCTAGTGAAAATCACAAAATAAAGTTCTTAAGATTAAGACACCCCCGAGGAAGCATTGTATGGCGAAACACGTGTTGCGTTTTTGTAAAACTGTCTAGAGAAAATCACACAATAAAGTGTTTTTAGAATACGTTATATCGCAATGTTTTAATTTTTTTGTTTAGAGAAAATATATTATCTAACAGTATTTTATTTAGAAAGACCATTTTAATTATTTATTACTAAGTAACTGGGTAATTTATTCAAAACAAATTCTCCGCATACGGATTTTTATATTTTGTGTTAGCTTTGGTATTTGGAGGAGAGGAATTTATTTCCTTGATTATTTTTTGGCTGAGGGTTCTTGAAAAAAAATTACCAGGAAATTGTGGATTAGTTGGAGATTTTTGTTATGGAACTCGGAATTGGAAATGTCACTCAAAAAAACCTTCTTAGAAGCAATTTATTTGAGTCACTAGATTATTTAAGTGATTAAGATTACTACCACGACTTATTTACCTACTAAAAATTCAAAAAACTATTTTCACTGGAATGTGCATGTGAAACTCCAGGTCTTCTGAAGACTTCACTAATGTTATCACTGATTGATTCATTGAGAATTTCCTTAATTTGGCGATGAGAACTCCATGGTTCACTTTGTCGAATGCTTTCGCTAGGTCTGTGTAGATTACATCAACTTGTTTTCCAGTTTCACCGTGTTAGGAATCACATGTTAAAAGGTAAGACCTCGTTAGTCCTTAGCTCGCACAAGTTCTCAACTTTTGAAAGTTGTCGTTCGTATGGGGGCGACAGCTGATTAACGGAAAAACAGATTTTAAACAGTATTTATCGAGAGTGCTAAGTTATTGCTGAACACCATGAAATTTGTTACAGTCGATTTTTTATTAACAAAACCGTGGTGTTCTCTGCAGATAATGTCTTCAACATGGTCATGTAGTCTGTGATATAAGAATCTCCCTAAGATTTTTGATAATGAGGGGAGTATTGTTATCGGCCTATAGTTTGTTATGAGATTTTGATTGCCAGATTTTTCCATATATAACAACTCCAGTTGATGTTTTGGGTTTTAGGGATCTAATTGCTTTAAAGATATCTTGTTCGGAAATTGACGATATACATAATTCTCGCAGGTTGTTCTCTAGAGAGAGATTGGTACCACCTGGAGAATCATTACTATAAACTGATTGAAAATATTCAGAAAAAGCATTAGCAATATCTTGGTCATCAGAAATCACTTCATCTTTATATCTGAAATTATTAGATATTTTGTAATCATTTTTTTTATTGTTTATGTAATTCTAAAATTCTTTAGGAGTTTTTACTGATTTTGTTTTCAATAGTTTGTATGTGGGAGAGCTTACACTGTTCCCTTAATTTTTTCACTTTTACTCCAAGTTCACAGAATTCATTTCTGTATTCATCATGTTTTGGAGTTACACATTTGGATTTTTTAAAGTATTTTTCCTTTTCCTTTATTGTCTGCCTAAGTTCATTTTTATTTCCTTTTTTTGCAAGTATTTGTCAAAGATATCATAGTCTTTTGTAAAAAGCATCAATCAACTCATCGGGATCTTTTGATATTAACACATTTTCCCATTGAGTTGGGCTTACAAGGTGATAGAGTTTGACGTAATCACCACTCCGGAAATCATAAATATATTCTTGTATATTTTCTTCGCTTGTCACAGATTCTGAGCCGATCAAAGTAATATCAATTTCTAGTGGAGGGTGATACTCGTCTGTGCCATCATATAGGCTTGAAGTTGCCTTTGTAACACTTGTGCTGGCTTAATTTGTTAGGACGAGGTCAAGAGTGACGTAGTTTGAATTTGTTATATCATTTACAGAAAAGAGATCATAGTTGCTCATGAGGTCATCAATATATTTATCTTTACCCGTGCAGGTCTCGAAACAGAACGATGCACCATTTATTTACAGAATATTAAAGTCGCCTATGATGTAGATAAAATCGGAGTTATTCAATTCATCAACACTTTCTAGAGATAAAATGAGCTCATTGTATACTTCTAGTCTTGAATTTCGGGAAATGTATACACAACATATTGATTTTGATTTCTCGAAACTTAACAGAGGTGATTATCCAGTCATAGTCTACACTATTACTTTTGGTGATCAGCTGTGGAGAATGCTTCTTTTTGGCTAGAATCATGACACCTCCGCCTCTTGAGGCTTGCATTTCTTCATACTTTCTGTAATTGTGGAAAACCCAGTACCTGGAGTCTCCTATTTCACCATCATAGAAGGAATCATTCAGCCAGGTTTCAGTGACAGCTAGGACATCTGAGTTGGGGCACAATACATTTTTATTAAAGGGTTCTAATTTGCTACGTAGGCCCCTCACATTTTGACACACAATTTGAAAATGCTTCATGGAAATATGTCATTTAATTATTCCACCGATTCAATTTAAAAATTTTCATAAAAATTGTGACTTCTTCACTAGTTTGGGCAAGTTTCCTTTTATCATTGCACAGAATTTCATCAAAAATAAAAGTTATAAATGAAAGAAGTTTGAGAAAAATGTCATTTATTATTTCTTTATTTACTTACAACAGACTATGATGAAATTCAGGACAAAGATAGTCCAAAAACTGCTGAACTCAGTGGAGTACTCAAGATATTGATTGCATTAGCAGAATAATACTTTAATAATGTGCATCTCCATCAATCTAATAAGTTGAAGAATATATTTTTTTTTCCTCCCATTGATATTTCGCTAATGTCAAACATACTAGTTACTTTTCAAATTCAATAATCTTTATTTCTCTAGATAGAGAGATGATTTTACACTGTGGAATAAAGTTTTTCTAAAGAAATTGTAGCCATAAACCAATAAAATTAAAAATTTGGTCTGGAAGGTTTATCTAAAGATCAAGAACTTGAATTCATAGCTAATTACTTTGATGACAATTAAATTACTGAAAGATGGAGTATTCTTCACATCAAACAAGTTTGTGTTGTGATCAAAATGCAGAGTTTGGTGAAAATATTCTAAATAAATGTGGATCAAAGATAAGGACTGTTTTTCTATGAGAATTTCACCATATTTTAATAATGGAGGGTACAAAGCGTACAAATAACATTTTCTATGAAAGCAGGTGTCTCCACTATTACCGAAAAAACTAACAACTAAACTACTTTCATTTCTCATGAAATTAAAAAAAATATTTCTTTTGTACATGAGTCTCCTTTTCAAGGGAAATAATTTAGCTGACTGATTCTTACATACCACTTTCCTAATATATCCGTATTCTTTGCTGGTTGTATTCCCTCGTATATTTTCCAATTGATAAGGTGGACTAATTATTACCTGAAAATGAAATGGAAGTCTAAGTTTAATTCAAAATCGCACTACTATAATCATCCAACTAATATATTGCACTTCAACCATAGTTTCACCTATTTTTACAATTTACATAACATATATAATAATATTAATGCAGATGCAATGATATCACAATTGAAATTAGTTGCTTCTAGATAGTTTGGTATTTCAAAATTCAGTACGCTACAAGATCCAGAAATCTTGTTGGATGCAATGTCTATAGAACTAGCCTTTATCAAAAGAGTCATTCATATTTGGGATGCAGGGTTTTTAACTGTCTTGATAACTCTATCAAAAGGTCTCCAAATATTAAAGTTTTCAAATCCAGACTGAATTTCATTTATGGTGGTGCGGTCTCCCTTTTATGTCATCACAAAAAAGGGGAATGATTTGACACACAACAACCCAAGCAGTAAGTTGATGATTGTTCATTTCGAGAGATTAGTTAACTATCGATACAATAATATCACAGGTCAGAGAGGTAACATCGAAAGCATTCTGACAATGATCTGTGACAATATACATCTGATATTTTTCAGGCAACTACCACCATCTCTAGGTCAGACTGGGTGCTTCTGGGACTACCATCGTATATGTCGGTAATGTTTGAATTGACTTATTCATTCTAGAGTTTTATTTCGTGTCACAAAGCTGCTTACTAGGTGTTAAACGGACATTCATCTGAAATATGTTCCCTCAGAAGTCGAACTTGTGCGAGCTAAGGACTAACGAGGTCTTACCTTTTAACGTGCGATTCCTAACACGGGTTAAACGATAGCAAGTAAAAATGGAACGTTTAACCTGCGGCTTGAATCATCGACTCACACATCGACCGATTGACTGAGTGAACAAAGCACCCACGTCGAACTGCCCAGCTACCGAAAGGAGTAATTATTCAAGCAATGTGATTATTGAAATCAATAATGAATTCACACATCACACATCAATAATGAATTATAGACCGTATTTCACTTGAAAAAGAGAAGGCATTTTATGTTGAAATTTCGACTACACCTGATGGCAAATTTTTCAGAACACCCAAATATAATACATAATTGTTATGAATTTAACCAAATAGTAATAATTACACTATTACTATTAGGATGGCATTTCTGACAAAAAGGATTGCCAATCATAGCCACACCAAATACATCCTTTTTTATCATGTGAAATATGTGTTAGGAATCACACGTTAAAAGGTAAGACCTCGTTAATCCTTAGCTCGCACAAGTTTTGACTTGTAAAGGTTGTCGTTCGTAGGGGGGCGACAGCTGATTAACGGAAAAACAGAACAGAAAACAGATGGTCAATTCAACATAAATTGTCCTCGAAAAGTAAGTTAAACAGATTTTAATAAAAAAATAATATAATTGTCAACAAATTACTATCAAAATTTCAGACTCTCCATATAACACAGGCTTTTTCATTTCCAACAATACGATGTTTTCACATATCATGTTACTTGTTCAAAATATCTTCCCTTGATTGGCATAACCAGAATGTTACTATGATGTTTAAGAATGAAATTTAACAATTCGAGAAGAAAACCCAGGAGCAGAATCTTGGTACTCTTCTCTTTGTGGCTACTAAGCTGGAAAGAAAGCACTACGCATTGCCATCAATAATAAAGCATCATTAGGCAATAATTGCAAGTGCCGAATAGTATCTTTAAAACATTTTCACAAAATTGATTTTGACTAGTTATTATTACAGTTATGATGATAATATTTGGAATAATATGAATACACCAAGATACGTGGTAGTAGTTGAAAGAAGGAAGGCAATCTATTCCTCACAAAAATAATAGTTCATTTTCATACCTCTTGATTCCAGACCACAATTTCTGAATTACTCCACCTCACTTCACTTATAGTTTTGGCTATGGCTATGAATAAACTTTGCCCTTCAGAACTAACGTTGGCAGATATTGCTTGTAGCATCCGTTTCTTTTCATCGACTTGGTTCCGAACCCTTGTATTTAGCTGAAAAGCCTTTCTACAGAAAGTATTAATTTGGATATTTCATAACTTACCCTTTGTAAATTGAGTGACTGTGGTACTTCTGGAACATGGTTTACTTCTTTTTTAACTTGTAATTCACTTACAAGCGATAAATTTATAAAATTAACATCATTTAGTTTTGGATCTCCATTTGTAGAAGCACATTCTGTAGATAATATTAAGGAAAACAAAATAACTTACACATGGTTAAACTAATAAAATGGCTGATCAACAATAATCATCAACAGAATTTTCATTCAATCGAAATTGCTTTTAAAATACCATAACTCCTTTTGAAAAGCATACGCTATGCAAATATCGTTTATATTGAGTACTGTAACTTTCTTGAAATTAAACAATTTTCATTCCATCAAGGGAAAAAAATTTCAAAACACTAAGCACTATTTTACTTCTAGCAGGGTTGAAAATGTTTGAAAAAGGATACTCAGAATTAATATTTTAGATGGTGGGTCAAACGCCAATACTTCCCCTTCGATTTCCTTATTATAACACGTTCGACACCAAACAATACTTCCTAGTGAAAAAAAATCTGAAACGGCGGCCATTTCGCAAAATAGAAATGGCAACTGGCAGGCAAGTTTACGAAATAAACATAGGGAATTTAGTGAAAATATTTATTGCATCAAAAGTCTTTGTCTCAATGTTGCCACCAAAAAAAAACAACCAATGTGTGTAGGCCAGTATTTTCACTCATTTTTTTCTTGTTAGGAACATTACAAAAATTTATTGAAATTTCGTGAGGAAGTCGCAATCCTGTTATGTCCGACTGTCGTTTCTACTAAGAGAACCAGTTGTTTGCATGTCAATATACCTTATTTTACTTGAAAAGACGAGATATTTTATGTCATAATGTTACCTAAACTTGCTCTCGTATTTATTGCGAACTGTTGTCATACAACACGAGGTGCTTTCTCTTTTGCCAAGTTTAATACAGTCTATGGAGTGTATTTCACTCGACAAAAGATGTATTCGGTTATTTTAAGATTGACCACTCTTTTGGTCAAACATGCAATTTCGTTCGTAGGGTCAGTACGATATGTAATTGTTATTTGGTTGAACGTAAAAATAAATAAATGTATAACGATGGTCAGTTCTGATGTTGATTAATGTATGGTTTTTATATATTGTGTTTCCTTTTGGTATTGATAATTTCATCATTTCCATATAATTTTGTATTTTTTCCGTGAAAATAAATTATTAATATTATTTTATATTCGAGAATTCGTAATGAATTAGATACCAAACCTAGTCAACATTATAATATAAAATTCCTCTTCTTTCTCAAGTGAAATACGTTATTTTCCAGAGGACAATGAAGTGGCCGAGCGACATGTAAGTACGTAATTCAAACGTCAGGTCTGGGAAATTCATTGGATATGGCCATAAATGATCACAGTCGCAAACATTCAGATATTTTTCAAAAAAATGAGAAGAAATCCTCTCCATGATGAAAAATAAGCCGAAAATACAGCATTTATAATTTAGCACCAGAAAGCGCTTTTTTGACCCGCCATGGGTCTCTTTAGCTGTGCTCCACTGAACCATAATCCGTTGTTAATGTTAACTATCCTTCGAGAAGAGAACTATCGTAAAGAAGTAAAGGCAAAGATATCGCCTTTCACGAATACGCTTTCAATGGAATCGACAGAAAACTCAATCCTTGAAAATGAAAGATAAAGAAGGCTGGTTTAATCCGGTTGCCTTACAGTGAAAGTTGTAGTAAAAGACACGGAGGACGAATCTTCATTTAGTCTTTTTTCGATGCCATAGATGGCGTCTTCGTAAAGGGAAATGGCGTCTTTGTAAAGGGAGCTATCGTCGCCTTCACTTTCCTAGACTTGTCCTTTAAGGACAATTGAGTCCAGCAAAGCATTGGCGTTGAAAAAATCTTCAATAGCAAGAACTCATTTCCAAAATAAAATTCAATTTGTTTTTAAATTCCTAAAGGGATTCATATGGTCTATTTCAATGACATTTGTCAAAGATTCACATTTAGTGACATTTTCAAAAATTTCAGACTTTCATTTGTAGTTTGAGTAAAACATCACTACTGAATATTAAATTAAGTGAATACAGATATAATACACTAGTATTCGTGACATATTTGACAGTTTACCACAATTTCAACGGAAAGTGTAGCCAACATTATAACATTAAAATATATCTTTCTCAAGTTAAATTAATAATTAAATGATGCACTGTTTGGGACCTTTGCTGTAGTAATAATAATAAAATACACTCTATTGACTATTTTAATGTAAAAATGTATGCATATGTTGCAGGCGTACCATGACTGCCAACATTGATATTTTACATATTTATGATAGATAACGTGTATTAAACCGTATTTCACTTAAAAAAGAGAAGACATTTTATGATATTTCACTCACACTGTTCCGTCGAATCTCTTCCTATTTCATAAACAGTTGAACAACACCTTTTTATATTCATATCCTGATGGACCCAGAAGTCCCGCAGGTAGCTGTAGCTGCCTCTGTAGTAATGTTAGGTGCATCCTAGCAATTCTAGGTCTCCTAACTGAAGCGGTAGGCTCCTGTTGGTGACTCCGTTCGTTTGTGTTGTTTTTCCGTTTTCGGCATAAGTGCTGTTCCGTCGAATCTCTACCTTATTGAATCAATGAAAATACTTTTTCCACATCAAGTTAGCACCATTAAGAGATGGTTCTAACTTTGTTAGCGAAACGCGAGTCGAGAGACAGCATTTTTGTTCTGGTGAGGGGGAAGTGTTTTCAATAGATTCATTTTATTCCAGAGGCTACAAATTCTATTCATCAAGGCATATGATGTTACACGTTATGTTGTTATTCAGCCAATACACTTTGAAGTGAGTTCTGTTGAATTCATAAATTTTTGTTCCAAATATAGTGGAAATATAATATACCTATCATAATTTTCTTATACTGAAAATCATACCGGAATCCTAACAAAGCATATGGTTTCGCAAAGTTATAAATGGATAACATTTTTATTATCCGACAAATAATAAATTCCTCTTTAATCACATCCCACAATAATTTTGAAATATTGAATCTGTTAAACAAAAAAATATGAGAAATGGATTATATTCCGAGTGCTACAATATAATAATATGTATAAATCCATACTTTCCAGAATTTTGCTGCGCAATTGAGTGTGGTAACAATTTGATAATTATCACTATTTTATCGTTAATTATTATTATACCTACATGAAAGTATTTTCTTGAGAGCAAAATTTTGAAAACTATGAATTATTTTGATCCATTGAACTTGATGCATGTTGGATTGTTGAGGTTATTTCTAGAAAATAAAATAAAAAAATTTAGTTCCAAAATGTGATGGTTTTTAATTTAGGCATGTGAAATAGGAACACCGAAACGTTTCCTTACGACCACAGCCTACTAGCCCAGATTTTCTTTATTGCTGACTATTACTGTTTCTGACTCTGGTTACTTTTGGTTTCGAAATAGTCTTCGATTTCAATAGTTTTTTGAATAAAAATACTTTGAATGATAAGACGTGATTTTTATGTTTCACAAGTATTCAAATTCTGTTCATTTTTGTCAACAATTGAAAAATCAATAGTACATGAGCAGAATTATTAAAACTAACATTTCAAATGAAATATCAGTAGAAACACTCCCTCCTGGTGAAGAACTCTTGTTATTCAACTAATACTATACCGTTCGTCAACGTCGAGAATGCACAACTTAGTCACAGGTCTCCTAAATGTGCCTATGAACGTTTTCACATCTACCACTCGAATGTGACCATCTTTTTCTCGATGAACTTCAGTGACGATATCTTTTGGCCAAATGTTTTTCGAAAACCGATTATCAACCACATCATCAGCCTTGATTTGGCGACGAAAAAAACCACTTACTTCTCTTGGTTATAACAGGTAGATATTCTTTTATCCATCGTCTCCAAAAATGATCCAAAAGAAGTTGAGATATTCATTCGCCACTGTTTTCTAGTGTCAGGTCTTCACTGTCTGCTTGACAGTGAAGGCCTGTGAGACGTGAACCAAAGGATGGCTGTTAACAATGGATTCAGCTTCAAATAATAAAGTCTGCAGAATTTCCTCTCGTGGAAATGTTTCGTTGAAAATGAAATTTACAGTAGTTTCGATGGATCTGATGAGTCATTCCCAACTTCCATATGTGGAGCTGGATGGGGTATGAATTGAATTCAATATTGTCAGTAGTTGAATTGAAACTAAGTTTTCCTGGTACAAATGTTCTAGAGCTCTTTTAAGTTCATTTACCTAATGCTCTCTTTAGGTTCGTGCCATTATCGGAAAATACTGTTTTTGGGACATTTTCTACCACCAATGAGACCTTGATCGCCGAAGCAGTATTCAGAGAGTGTGCCATTTCAAGATGAACTGCAAGGGTGCTCATGCATGTAAACAGTAGGTACTTGTATCTTTTTCCATGTCTTCGGTCAACTGGCATATATATTCCAACAACTTCTCACTGCTGATCTTATCTTCAGAATTCAGTAATGTTGTCTCAGTTCATTTACGACAAACTCTTGACCGATAAGCGCTACCTTGAAGTGATGGTGAAAAATTAGCAATTTCGTGTAGTAATTTGTTGGTTTGAGAATTATTGGAAACGTTGTGTCGTCCGCTAGATCATTTGAATACAAAACACTACTTTTGATTCGTATTATTACTTCATCATCTAGAAAAGGTGATCCATAAATTTTTTGTCAATTTTTCTTTTGTTGGGCATGCGCTCTTTGTTAAATGACGACTTTTTTCTTATATTACTGAGAATTCTCAGCATCCATACCAACTTTAACCACGACAAAAATCTTGTAATATCTGGCAACAAACGTTCTCTTCACCTCAGAATTGTCGATCTCGTCAACACAGGTTCGGGACCATTCCTTGCTTGAACACTTCAGGACACTGCATCTTAATTGTTTTAGATCACTTTTGCAATGTTGCCTTTTCTACGAGTCTTAAATTAATTTTACAATGTGGCCTCATCTAAAGTCAGGTAATCTAATAATTAAAATATTATTTCAACAAGCTATATAGTATACTATTAGGTATTGGTCCGCCATCATTATTCTTAATATTATTGTCTTTACTCATTTCTACACTCTCGTAGGCATCTAGATGCCTGTTGTTAACTTGTCTAACTAATCTTAATGAACTGAAGTCTAAGGAAAGTTTTGTTGCAAAATATGATGGGCGAATGCTGATTTTTCTGTCTTCCATATTTTAGTGTTCCTTATATCTTATTTTAATAGATATTTTATTCTGTCAATAATATTATGCATCGCAGTCCTTACATTTAATTTCGTAATTCCAGAATTTTCCGAATTATTGACTATGTTCTTTGGATTTTCTAAAACACGTCATACACTACAGAGCCTGTTTTAAAATAAGGCATATACTACAAAGTCTGATTTAAAATGAGTCATACACTACAGAGCCTTTTAGGAAATCCAAAGGACAAAGTCGAGTATTCGGAAAAGTCTGAATAACACCATTCCATAGAGTTTAGTTCATTAGATAAGTTAAGAACAACAGACATCTGAATGCCTACGAGAGTTTAGAAATGAGTAAAC